CCAGGCCCGCAGGCCCTGCCCGCACCAGCTCTCTGGGGAGACAGGCACAGGGGAGCCGCGCTCACCTCCAGGTGGAGGGGTTAGCACACGCCGCGGGGAAGGAGAGGCACTCCCGCTGCCTCTGCGGACACCCCCCAGCTCTCACCTCCTCGTCTTGCGGCCCTCGCTGGCAATGTAGGCGTGTGGAACCTTCAGCCACTGGGCTGCGTCCAGCCGCTGCCGGCTCAGAGGGAGCGGAGGCAGCGGCGCCCGGGGCGGACCCGGTCTGCCTGCAGGGAGGAGCGAGGGCTTCCCCTGAGCACCTCCTGCACAGGCAAGGACGGCCCGGCACGGAGCACTTCCAAGGGACACCAATCCTTTCACAGACCTGGCTCACACTGCTCGACAGCGCCCATCTCAAGAAACCACCTCTGAAGGCCTTTTAGCAGGGGATCCTGTAAAGCTGGTGTTGAAACCTGTGACAAGAGACACGATTTTCATGCTCACACCCCAGCACAAACCCTTTCACAGAGACTCTCCAAAGCTGGGAGAATGTCAAGGTACCATGGGTTAGCAGGGGAGGAGCACCCACCTCATTTTCTATGAATAAAAGCAGGAGGCACAGAGCCAAGTGGCCTGAGAAACACTGAGCATCTCAGCCCCTAACACAGGCCATGAAGCTTTCAACAACCTGGCCACCAAGTGAGACCCCAGACACGAGCCCTGAGCTCGGTGAAGCCTGTGTGGCACTTTGCAGTGACCTATCAGCTCGGTCCCCATGGCTGCTGGGGGTTCAGCATCCTGAAGGGATTTAGAGAACTGCACTCTATGGCTTTGTGTCCAAGTCCTACCTAAATCTGCTCTCAGGTACCCAAGTCTCTGGTGCATTGGAGCGAGCTTCTTAAGATCATCTGAACTGTCAGATTATTTCCTTCTGCAGAGCACACACCCAACTTGCCTGGGAACTCAACAACCCTCATGAGACAGGACACTCCCCACCCTGCCATAATGAAGTTCAGCAGAGGAAAACAAACCTCCCCCTGCCATTGCTCCTGGGCCTCCAAGCTGGAGCTTAGTATGGATCCAAAACATGTTGAAACACTCTTGGGCTGAAATGCAGCAAGAGCTGGGACCCCGATGGGTTTAGTTAATAGAACGACAAGGTGTTGCTCTGCACTAGCCCCAGAGCAGCACGAAAGGAACAAACTCTGCCTCCTCTCTAACCCTTCATTTCTGCTGGTCAAAGGGTGCCCCTGAACCTCATGGCACAAATCCCCAGCTCACCTTCCAGCACTCTGGACGCCTCTTGAGGAAGAATGGATCGTACTCTGATGGGTCATAAGCTTCCAAAGCCACGTAGCCCTGTGGGAGAAGCAGGGAGACGG